AAAAATAATTGAATATAAAAAAGAAATTCTTCTGAATTATTGTTACATAACTGATTTAGGTTTATGTAGATCAGCTAATAAAACTGATAAAAGCAAAGTTTATGGAGTGTTGCCGTATATTATCCCAGAAGCCTAAGTTAGTGACATATGCTCTTTTGGAATAGCGGCTTATGAAGTGCTTTCCAGTTCGCCTCCTTATTATGATGTGTCTCATGAGGAATTTCTAGCTATAAAAATCTGTCAAGGATAATTAAAAAATTAAACTTGTCATTAGGGCTTACTTGATCTAAGAAGCTTCGTTTATTAGTATAATTAACCTTGTATCTCACGACATAAACTGATGGCAGCCATGTAGCACCTGTGTAGCATATAAAGAGTGGTGAAATTCTTTGCGGGATATTGATTTAAACATGCTTCACTGCTGGTCTTCAAGACCGTCTAGACGTTTGGGTTTCAAAATTGCCTTCATACTTCACAGGCAGTTCGCTTCTAGGATAAGAGCTTACTCTGTCTATTCAAAGGTCAAAAGGGTCCCAATCTATAGCCTTGACCTAAGGTTTCAAGTTTCTGAACCATTCTACAAATGTAAGCTGATATAAGAAAATAAAAATAATTTTTAACTAAAATTTTACTTACCCTCGAAAATAAGTTTCCAAAACTTTTAAGGTTTGGAACCATTCTACAAAGGTAAGAAGTAAGTGTTAGTATTAATTTTTTTTAAATTAACCAATCTATTATAACTTCTCTTTTCCTGCAATATTCCAGTTTGTAAGTTCAGCATTCATAAAAAGTATGAGAAACGATATAATAAAATAGATATTCGGTCAATCTGATTAATCCACAGATCAATCGCGAATATCTGAGAATCAATTTTTTTTATCTGGATAATCCGATTTTTGATCGGATGGTTGATCGGATAGATTGGATTCATCCGGATCGCACCTCTATCTCCAAGAGGTTATCCCAATAATTGTTACCCTCTCCTCCAACTCTTATTATGTTTAATAATTACAAAAATACTACTCTTTTACTTAATATAGACACCCAAACTAATAATATTAATAACACAAATATTTCACCAACCATTACCTTCGCTACCCATAACGTTCACTTCTTACAATGTGATTTAAAAAATTAATTAATCAAAGATACTTTTTTGGATTTCGACACAGACTTTGTCGGTCTAACTAAAACTTATCACAGATCTAACCAAACTTACAAAAATAAGTTTGATCCTAATTTTTCTTCTTTTTGGAGTTCTTCCATTAACACCCATGCTGGCGTCAGCCTTCTTATCAAACGCATATGATCAAATTATGTTTAAAAAACATTTTTAGACAGTGACCGTTTCATTTATGTAGATCTCTTCCTCACCGGTCACATTAAACTAAGAATTTTCTCAATTTATTTACATGCCAATCGCAACTCTTCAACCAAAAATGATCGCCTTAAATTGCATAGAACAATTCTTGATCATATTAAAGATGGTCTGAAATCTGATTTCAAAATCATTCTCCTAGGTGATTTTAACGCAAACCTTGACAAATATTAGACCCACATCAATGAAGGACAAACATTACATTAGAGATATGATTTCTATCAACGAATATTCGCTCTGAATTTTTTGGATTTATATGACATTTGTCATGATACACCCCAACCCACATTTTTTTCAACACAAGCAAACACATGTATCGACTCCATTTTTGCCTCTCCAAATCCCATTTTAGACTTTCTTTATTTATACATTGATACTACTGATATGTACAAGTCAGACCATAGCATTGTCTTTGCCAGTTTTGCAGATATTAGATGCCAATCTCATGCAGCTTTACGATCCTTAATGAACAAATAACACGTCACTAATTTTAAGGCGATGAATCATAGGAAGACATTCATATGATTGGTCAGATAGGTTACACAAATTTTACTATAATTTTTATATATAATCACATGACATCGTCGTTTAAAAAACTTCACCAATACTCTTTGAATTTGCAAATAATTAACAGTAAAAAAATTTCTTTATTACTTTCTGTCTCTTTGAAAGTAGATAAACAAGTAAGTTTGATTTAGATTTCCTATTATAATTATTATATCAGTTCATTTTACAAGTATATAAAATATATAACATATTTTCTATTTAAAAAAAAAAATAATATAAAATTAATACTTTTTCTTAAATATATAGTATTATCAAAATCACCAAAACTCAAAATAAACTTTCTTATAAATATGTATTATCAGCTTAATCTTTAAATTACCTTCTTTTACTTTTTCTAGTTAGTTAAATATTTTCAACATATAGCTATATAGTAATTACATATAGTCTAATAATAATAATAGACAAAAGTATTTTTGTCTTTTAAGTAAAGTACTTTGAGGTTTGGGATTATTTTTGGATTATTTTGCATAGTGAATGTTAACGTTCTTTTAAAGCTAGAAAAAAAATCTTTTACTTTTTATAAGTGAAACGTTACATTTTCGAAAAGTACTTTAAACTGTATAAATAAATATATCTGGCAATTGATTAGGATCAACCAATCACGTGAAAGTCTTCCTATGAAGTTCAGCCCCTAATTAAGGCAGATTATGATATTAATTTACTATAGGATTTACCAGTTTAATTCTGGAAATGAATTTCATAGGATGTGTACAAACCATGTTTATTGAAGATCACAAATTTGTAAAATAAGATGACTATTTGATGGTTGTTTACATAAAGGATGGTAGCTTTCATGACATAAGTTGTATAAGGTCACTTTATTTATATACCACCCTGATAACAAATAATGGTAATAAGAACTTGAAGCATAATGAACCAATTGAGTTTGGAACTTATATTAAGGAGCTAGTCTTAATAGACAAGTGCTACATCATCTGCAAAGGATACCTGTAAGGGTAGGATCAATGATAGACATTGTATAACTTGGATTAAACAATAGTCATGGATTATAGGTGATTGATATTACATTATCTTTAACCATCATGGTACCTATATCATAACTAAGGTTTAGAGATCTGAATTAGATTCTTGGGATGATTTTGATGTATAGTGAGGCAACTATAGTGTAGGCTAGTGTGTAAAATCTATGTGCACAATGTGCACATGTGCACATTAATTTTTTGTGTGCACATATTACATAACATAAAATGTGCACAAATTATTACTAAAAATAGAAAAATTATGTATAAAAAAGGTAATTTTACATAAGAAAATGTTATGATTTTCTTATTTTAGTAATAATTAATCAATTTGTGCACATAAATTTTAACTTAGATTTTATATACTGATGTAGGCTATTATCTTAGGTTATTCTTGACCTTCTTTCTAGTAGTTGTGATGAATGTGAATAATGATAGGTACCAAAGTACTCTATCATGAGGTTTAGTGATTTGACAGTCTACTCAGATAGTGATACCTATTCATCTAGATTTAACACAAATTTATACTGGGTTACAATATACTAAAAGAGGTTAAAGTGGTAATTATATATCATAAATCGTATCATTCTGTTGAAAAGTATGCAGCTAAAACTTTACCATCAGCGTGTATCTAGTAAAAGTATCAAAAAAATAATAATTTTGACTATTTCGATTATTTCAGATATCCAAAATGATCTATTTTAACTTCATATATAGACATATATGATATATCTAATATGATTGATAAATAGGATATATTAAACAGATTTGACATATATAACATATTGGATATATTTTGACATATCCGATATATTAGTTACAGAATATCTTTCTATTTATTGTATTTTATATAAATAGATAGCTTTTTAGACCATGTAAAAAGTAGGATTTGACAAGTCAGTTTTTTAGTAGTTTTTAAAGACAAACAGGCCTATTATGTTACACTTTAGTTGTAGTATTTCGTTGCTTTATTTTCTTTTCTTTTCTCTTGTTATTTCTTTTATTTTCTCTATTTTCTATTTCTTATTTCATTAATAAATATCTTACTTTGAAATATAATTACTTGATACACTGTGAATTGTTATTTGTAAAACACTTATATAAATCTTTTTCTGAATTTAGTCGTAAAAGTAAACTTGTAAAATGTTAAGATTACTATGCAATTAAAAAGAAATAACACTCTGACATCTTGTTTAACAGTTGTAGTTCACAAGAATTACATGTTAACAGTACCAATTTGACAAAAATTGCATTAGATTATATTTGGCTTTCAATTTCTAGTTGCGTAATTTCTCTATGTATAATAACCTTTTAAATAATGATCAGTAAAATCTTTTGTGCAAATTATTAAAAAATTAAATATGTTATATTTTAATAAAAATAATTGATTTTTAAAGCAAATTTTTTATATTTTTTAAATACATAAAACACCAAATTGATTTTAACTATCACAGAATTACACAGAATGAATGAAAATTAGTATCATATTACATCACAGAATTTTGTTTAACCACACATAGAATTTGGTTTTTATTACCGCAAAAAATCATCATCCCTAGGTACATGCTAAGTTAATATGTGATGGTAACTGCTTTTTTTATAGCCTTAATGTTGATACAGTTCACCCTAATTTATTCCTGTTGCTCTATTTAAGCCTGTTTAAGTTGACCAATTATTATACTAACAAGGTGTCTTCTGCTATATAAAACCCACTTGTGTATGTATATAACCTGTGTTAGTATTCAGTTAACACTACTGGATTGAAGGATCAAACAAAATCCTAATTTTTAGACTAGATAAGCTTACCATACTAAAAACAAGAATAGGAACATCTCGGATAAGGGCTAAATTGATCGACGGTAAATTTGATCAACATTATGGTCGATTTTAATTGGCTTATTGATTAGAACGAGATTATAATTTTCAAGTTTTTGAAATAACTATCCTTTTTCAAAATGTCTTGTCAATTTGCCAGAAATAATAATAAGAACTTACCAGCTCACACTAGAAATTCTATGGACAGTGCTCATAATAGATCTGCTCTTGAACCTAATCAGCGATTAGTTGTCAAAAAAATGATATTGGATAATTTTAATTCGTATATTGGTAAACAGGAAATAGGTCCTTTTCACAAGGTATAATATATTTTTTGTTTTGTTGGAGATTTGCAGCAGCACGAGACTCTAATCTTAAAATTTTTAATTTCAAGTTATTTTCGGCTATTGTCGAAACAAATGGTTCTGGAAAATCAAATGCCATAGACGCGCTTTTATTTGTATTTGGATATCGAGCAAATATAATGAGGAAAGCAAGATTATCAGAACTCATTCATTTACCACAGGGATGTGAAAAACTTGATACTTGCATGGTAGAAATACATTTTGAGGAAATCATTGATGTGGTAAAGAAATAAAAAGACTATAGGTTTAATTTCAAAAATACAAAAGATTAATACCACATAATGTTCAATAATATTATAGTCAGGTTCGGATGATTATGAGATTGTACCGAAATCTCACTTGGTTATCTCGCGTCAAGTTTTCCGTAATATTACAAACAAGTATTTCATTAATGGACGTCAAAGCAAATACACCGAAGTTACAAGTCTTTTGAAAGAAAAGGGGATCGATTTGGATCATAATCGGTTCCTAATTTTGCAGGTGCCTTTTTTATTTATTTTTTTTTAAAAAAAAAAATGTTTTTCTCATCCGAGGTCATTATTAATGTATTAATGCTTAGGGAGAAGTTGAATCAATATCACAGATGAAACCCAAAGCACCAAATAAGCATGAATATGAATTCTTAAAATATCTTAAAGACATTATTGGAACTTCTGAAAAAGCATATTTAAAGGTTAAGAAGAAACAAAGTTTAGAGGTGACATATTAGTTAATCGAATTCGTATACATATTAAATAACAAATATGATTCTAATCTTATTGAATTGTAAGGCTAAAAAAAAAAAAGCTGAAGATCGTTTCCAAGATGAATATAATTTATTTTTGGAAAAGTCCGCCCTGTATCAAAGTAATTTGTTAAATTGTAAAATTAATATAACTAAGGCTGTGGTAAGTCATTAGATTTAAAGTCCTTATTCAGACAAGCTAATTTAATATGACGATTAATTTTATTATGAATTCTTAGAACAAATTAGAAGATCAACTAAAAGAAGAAGAAGAAAAGCATAATCATTTTAAAAATCAATACAATGATTCTTTTAATGCTTTTCTGGTAAATATTTATAATAATTTACAAATAAATAAACTTTCATTGATATTAAAATTATATTTATTTTAATAAGCAATTTAAAAAAGAAACGAATGAAATTCTAACAGAATCAGAATTGGCAAATTATGAGAAGGAAGATATTCTCCTGGATGAGTTAAAGAAACATGCAACTTCTAAACAGAAGAAAGTGACAATGGCAATTTCTACAGTAGGTTTTATTAGTTTATATTATTTTGATGCATATGGGAGCGTTTCCAGTAAAATCACATTACGGATCATATGATTTACTATGCCTCATGACTTGGTTTTACTGGAAACGTTCCCATATATTATTTTCGAGGACATACAATAAGCTTTTCATTATAGGATCGTCAAGGACTTTCGAAAGTGAAAACAACAAAAAAATTATTTGAACAGGATTTGAATGATCTAATGAAGGAAATGGTGGGCTTGGAAAGATCTTTAGAGACTCATGAAAGTGAACCGGAAAGAATCATGGAAGCCTTAAAGGGTATGAGAATCGATTATTTTAATCCAATTGTGTAAATGCTTTTTTATATTGGATTTAATCTTAAAAAGGCAAATTTGAAATTTATTTAGAAAAGAAAGGAGAAATTGCGCATATTTCTGAGAAGATCAATGCGTATCAATCCAGTTTATCAATCAAGGAATTTGAGTATGATTTTTTAAAAACGACTATTGATTCAATAAAACAAAATTCTAAACAATTAGAAGATGGTATTGTCCCGTTTAGAGCATCATATCGGGAAAAGGTATTATTATAAGAAATCAATTGCTTTTGGTGACCATTTAATATAAATGAACTGCTTGTTTAGGAACAAGAAATCTCATCTACAAAGAAACAAATCAAAGATACAAAAAGAGAAATTAAACAATTGGACACGGGTTTAAAGGTTAATTTTACATTTAAATTAATATATTAAGTATTTAAGATAGTTTAAGATGACATAAATATCTTTTATTACTTTAGAATTACCTTATTCAGCAAGAAATTCTCAGGTCTAGTCTTGTCGATTCTCGACAAAGAGAATGGGAGGCGAAAAGACTTTTACAATCTTCTCAGTCTAGTGAACAAATTCTTGACAGTTTGATAAAGCTCAAGGATAATGGTCGTAATAAAGGATTATATGTAAGTTCGCCGGAACGAGCGTTCTATAATTTGTTTTTCTGAAAGCCTTATTTATTTAATTTTTAATTAGGATCGTTTGGGTAACCTTGGTACCATCAATTCCAAATTTTCTTCCGACATAACACCCGAGACAATAATGGCAAAATTAGAAAGAGGACGAAGCTACTTAGAAGTACATTGGAGAGAATTTAATGAAAATTTTAGACCTTTAGAATCTCAACAGAAAAAGGATGAACTTTCTAAATTAGAATTTGAATTAACAAAGTTAAAGATGGATGCTAACAATTACGCAAAACATATTAAATGTAATGAAAAAATAATGGCTGAGTTACGGTATGCATAGAACTGTATTTCCCCAGTATATTATTTGTATGGGTTAATTTACCATTTTTTTTTATTTTTCTTTTTAAGAAAACAAAATGATTCAAAAATAGATGATTATACCATGCGTTTGGAAAATTTTCGAATACAAATTGATCATCTAACACAAGAATTGGATAGATTGCAACGACAACATTCTAAAATTGAAGAAGAGATTAATATTTTGGAAGGAAAGATTAAATTTCGGGCTCATAAATCTCATATAGATCATATTAAATATCAAATAGATTTAATAAATGATCGAATTACCAAGTCGCAAGTGGCCAAATCAAGGGCGGAAATGGAAATGAATAAATTCGCAAATTCTCTAGAAAATAGTGAAAGAGAATTAGAAGAATTAAATAATGAGATAGAAATTCTTACAAAAAATATTCAACAGAATGCCAATATCCGTATTAAAGCCGGTGAAGACAAATCAGTATTTATGTTTTATTATATCTGAATGTTTTTAATATATATATATAAATACTTAATTACATGTTTTCTAAATATTTAGAAATTGGAAAGTAAAAAAGAAGAATTAGATCGGATCAGGGAAAAAATTAATGAAAAAACCAGAACTATAAATCATTTTAGAAGAATTGTATTAATTTTTAAATCTACTAAATCCGTTGTTATAAATGCGCATTAGGAAGTAAAAGTATTTGGAAACGGGACGTTAAATATCGATATAATGTCTATCAAAGAATTTTCACGTCAAATAAAAAAAAATATATTGATCAGACTAATAAATAATATCTATTATAGAGGCATTAATTTTTTTTACTTTATCACTCTTAAACACCTGAATTGATAATTCCAATATTAATTTCAATGAAAGACAATAAGAGGATTGTATCAATTTTTCTAATAAGATGGTTGTTAGAAAAATCAGATTAGAGCTCCGAACAGGTCGGGTTGGTCGGGTAATTAACTTGACCCGACCTGATAAGGTCAGGTCGGGTCAGACATAAATTGACCTGAATTAAATATACATCTGCCTGACCTGTCTAAAAAAGGAAACTAAACAATTATTAATTTTGTTTAAAAAAATATTGATATATTTTTACTATATAATTATTTTAACTGCAGAATTTAAAATTACAAGTTGTGATAAATTTGCAAATCAGGTGATTGCTAATACAATTACAAAAAACATTTATAACTTTATAACCATTAATCCAATCATAATAAAAATTTATATGCACATATTTTCGAACCCGCTGAGCAACTTTACTTATATGATAAAAGTCGATTTCCTTTGACCAAAGTGCTCAAATATCTCTTTGAAGTAATTGAATAGATAAAAAAAATTAAAATTAATTTGTTGAATAATGTAATTGCAAAAAATGTTTATAATTTAAAATTTATAAAGTAATTATATTAACTTTATGAGAATATAAAAAAAAAGTATATTAAATAAAATTAAAGATGTTTTTTTTTTTTTTTTTAAGACGCGGTGAAGCCTTTATTTATTAAAAATTCAAATTTAAATTACAAAATAAAAAGAAAATCCCAGAAAAGGATACAAAAGTAGAAAAAATAAAGTAAAAATTGCTTAGCCTTCCTTGAAGGGATAAACCAACTCCAACCAAACCAACCGGTTGTCTTGTCACATTCAAAATCAATTACGAAAAGAAGAAATATCAACATATGACAGGGAAAGTCGATTGAGACAACTAGTTTTCACTGCGCTAAAAAGAGTCCAAGATCTTCTGTGAATAAAAGAGTTAGTGAAAATATCTAAATGATTTATATTGTTATTATAATTGGAAGACGAGTGCGAGATGTGAGTCTGTTTAGAACTACTCGATTTAAGTCTCTTATTCTTGTTTGTGATATTAATGGATAATTTCTTTTCAATAGTTAAAGCACATTTGGGTTTCCATATCAAGGTGATAGATTGTTCAATAAGGTGGTTGTAAAAGGCAGAAAGAATAGCAAGGGTTTTTGTTTGGCAATTGGTAAAATTATTGATGAGAAGATAAAATTGGAAAGGTACGATTCCTTTTATGAAGTCGATGAGAGTAAAGGGTGAAGTAGATGTTTGAGGAAAAGATCAAAAAGGGTGAGAAATATCGAGAATTTGTTGAAGTTCGGGTGACCATTTGTAAGAGGAGATGTGTATGAAGAGATGATTTTTAAGCGTTTAGATATTTCTACTGACGATATCAATGATGGTGTGTCGAACTTCTGAGCAGGTTCAAATATATGTGAAAGTTTCATTTTTAGTGTTGCAGCGACAGCATTTTCATGTAGAGTTATAAAGATTGGGTAGAGTGAGCTTAAGAAATTCTACTGTGGGCAATTGTTCCAAGAGGAGTTGGTATCTTCGTTTGTGAAAGTATGATTCCTTATAAAAAGTTTGATTATTTGAGTTGAAATTGATGAGTTTAAATGTACAGAGCCAATTAACAGGCTTATTTTTGTAGTGATTGTTCCTTTGAAGATTGTAAAAGTCACAAAAGGATTTGGAGTTGATGAGGTCTTTAAAGAAGGGTCGAATTTTTTTGTTAATAGGATATGCTTGAAAGGTGGGAATAAAGGATAGATAAGGAATGCGTGAGAAGGAAAGGGAGATAGGGGAATCGGTAAGTACAGATTTAGTTAAATGGTCTACTTTTTTATTGAAAGGATTTTCAGAGTGTGCTTTAACTTTAATTAATGATAGAGTTAATTGTTTTTGTTCAATTAGTTTGAAAATAAAATACTAATGTATATAGAATGGGGTTTTAAAGAGTAAAGAGGGATATGCACAAACGTTATGTCGTAACAAATGATTATAGGAAAGGATCATAGAAAGGCTATCAGTATGAATTTTTACAAAAGAGCCAAAAGGACATATGAAAAGAGTCATTAAGAGAGCAAAAATTTCAGCTTTAGTAGAATTGGCTCAAAGAGGAGATAAAGCAGCAGCAAAACTAATATCTAGAGTATTGTGTACTAGTAAAAAAGCAGAACTAATATTCATTTGTAAAGAAGAAGGTAAAAAAAGATGAGAACCATTGGTATAAAATTCTAA